CCTTTCCCCCATTCTTTTATTTTTGTAACAAATTTTTTTGAAGTTTAGTTTACATGTGATAATTAAAAGTAATTTTAGTGTTCAATTTTCTAAAAATTATTTCCACTTTATTTGAAAGGAAGAGAGTCAAGGAGAGAGAGAGAGAGAGAGAGAGAGAGAGAGAGAGAGAGATCTTACTGGTTCACTCTCTAAATGCCCCTAAGCTCCTACAACAGCCAGGAGCCCAGAACTCAACCTAGGTCTTTCATGTGGATGGCAGGGATTCAAGAACTTGAGCCATCAAGTGCTTCCTCCCAGTGTGCACATTAGCAGGGAATGGAACAGGAAGTGGAGAAGCCAGGATTCCAATGGGCACTCTGATATGAGATGCGGGAGTCCCAAGCGACATCTTAACTTCTGTGCCAGATGCCTGCTCTGGTTGTACAATTTGATGAGGTTTGATGGATGTGTAGGTCTGCCATAGTCATGCTATAAGCATTTGCATCACCTTCCACATGTGCCTTCAGCTCCTGTGTAGCTGACCCCTTTATGCTCCCCTGGCCCGCAGAACCAATGATCTGCTCTCAGTCATGTAATTTCTGTCCTTTATTGGATGTCATGGAGATAGAATCATTCAGTGTGTAATATTTTTGTGTCTGGCAGCATAACTACTTTGAGATTTATCCAGAAGATCATTCTTTTAATTACTGGGTAGGATTCCATTATATGAGTATACCATAATTAGTGCTTCAGTCATTGGCTTTTTGGGTGGTTTCCAGTTTTTAGCTTTTACAGATAAATTTCCTGTGAGCGTCTACGTGCAAGTGTTTGTGTGGATAGTGTTGTCTTAGCTTCTGGGGGAATCCTCAGGATGCAGGTAGCTGGCAGGAGAAAGGGACATCGAGTTTGCTTGGGACCGAAGGTGAACAGGGACAACTGGTCATCCTGTGCCATGTCGCTTTGGCAAGTGTATGTTGAACTTTACGAGAAACTACCAAAATCTTTTCCAAAGTGACCAACAATTTGTGCTCTTGTTAGCAGGGGATGAGTGTTCCTATTTCTTCACATCCTTGTCAACACTAGGTTATATCAGTCTTTTTAATCATAGCTGTTCTGATGGATTTGTTGTGGCTCATCCTTGAGGTTTTAACTTGTATTTTCTAATGACCAAGAGTGTTAAGTATCTTTTTTGATGGTGTGGTTTTTTCAAATATTTTGCACAGTTTTAAATGGATGTTAATCTTTTTAGTGAGCATATGGATATAAATAATTTATCAGATACATGTTTTGCAAATATTTTTGATCAATCTGTGGTATGCTGTGCCATTGGATTTTGAAAAAGAAAGTTTCAAATACTTATAGATACTAAGTTATATTTAAAATTAGGAATTTGTTATCACTTTATTATAAAATACATACGGAAGCATGAGAGTTAGTTTAATGTAAATGAAATGAGTTAGTATGATAAAATTACAATGTCTACTTTAAAAAATATTTATTTATTTGAGAGGCAGAGTTACAGAGAGAGAGAGAGAGAGAGAGAGAGAGTCTTCTATCTGCTGGTTCCCTCCCCAGATGGCCACAATGAAGCCAGGAGCCTGGGTCCCCCACATGAGTGGCAGGGGCCAAGCACTTGGGCCATCTTCTGCTGCCTTCCCTGGTGCCTCAGCAGAGAGCTGGATTGGAAGTGGAGCAGCCAGGACTCACCTCAGCTCTCTGATATGACAGCAGCTTAACCCACTGTGCCACAACACTGGCCTCAACAATGTGTACTTTGTGTTTGTTGATTTTATTGTAGAATGATAATAATAGCAAGTATCTAACAGTTATTCAATACTATCTATGTGGCAGGCAGTGGTTTAAGTGTTATTGTCTATGTTATAAATATGATACAAATATATAACAATTTAGTATGTATATGAACTCATTTCATCCACACAAAAACCAGTTGTGTTGTTATCTCCAATTAAAAGATGAGAAAATTGAGGCAGAGATGTTAAATAACCTTCCCAGGGTAAGACAATTAGAAGTATTCAAGTTCTGTGTTTAACTTCCTACCCTTCTCCTATGCTTAGCACCTTTTGGTTAACAATGATGTCTTGAAAACACAAATGCTTCTTGAAATCTACGGTAAACACAAACCATATGCAATGGCATTTCATTTTTGGAAGTGGTCATTATCTACTACATCATACTCTAAGTGTTTGATTTTTTTTTACAAATTTATAAAAAAATTATTTAAGGTGTACAAATTTCAATTATTTCACATATACAATTTTAGTATATGTGCTGCCGAAGCGAGCACAATTTTCACATATACAGATTCAAGAACATGGTGCTACTTCCTACCCTGCCCTCCTCCCTGTCCATAATCCTACCCTTCCTCTTCCTTCCTCCTATTTCCTCTCTTAATTATTTATATAAAGCCTTTATTTAATAAATGAAAATTTCATAAGTACAACTTTTGGATTATAGCAGTTCTTCCCCCGATACCCACCCTCCCACCCCCATACCATCCCGCCTCCTACTCCCTCTCCCATCCCATTCTTCATTAAGATCCATTTTTAATTACCTTTATATACAAGAGATCAACTCTATACTAAGTAAAGATTTCAACAGTTTGCACCCACGCAGACACACAAAGTATAAAGTACTGTTTGAAGACTAGTCTTACTGTTGATTCTCATAGTACAACACATTAAGGACTGAGGTCCTAGATGGGGAGCAAGTGAACAGTCACTCTTGTTATTGATTAAACAATTGTGTTTGATTTTTTAAAACTATTTTTTGAGAATTTGCTATTTTTTAAAAAAATATTTTATTTATTTTGAGAGGTAGAGTTACAGACACAGAGAGAGGTCTTCCGTCTGCTTGTCCACTCCCCTAATAGCCACAGTGGTCTGAGCTGGGCTGATCCGAAGCCAGGAGCCAGGAGCTTCTTCCGGGTCTCCCACGGGTGCAGGGGCCCAAGCACTGGGGCCATCTTCTACTGCTTTCCCAGACCATAGCAGAAGGTTGGATCAGAAGAGGAGCAGTTGGGGCTTGAACTGGCTCCTAAATTGGATGCTGGCGCCACAGGCAGAGGCTTTAGCCCACTACGCTGCAGCACCAGCCCCTAAATGTTTGATTTAAGTACATGTGTGTCAGGAAGAAAGTGAGTCTCAAGAGCCTGTTAAATACATTCGGAAATAAATAAACCTGGACTTTGTATTTGCTCAGTCTGCAGAGGGGAACGGCATCAGGGTAATACATCACATATGAATGATGTCACACACTTGTTTTATTTGAAACAAGGTGATGGAAACCAAGCAGGCTTGCAGGTGAGTAGTAGGCTTAAGATTCCAGAGAGGCAGAGTGCTCTGCGTTGTCTCCCTTTTCTCAGAAGGACGCTCAGAGTTAGAGCCATGACAAGAGACCAGTTCAAATGGTGAAGAGTTTCAGTTGTTTTAAAAATGGTGGCTGGGGCCGATGCTGTGGCATATCTGGTAAAGCCACTGTTTGCAAGACTGGTTTGAGTCCCAGCTGCTTCACTTCCAATCCAGCTCCCTGCTAATGACCTGGGAAAGCAGCAGAGGATGGCCCAAGTCCTTGGGCCTCTGCACCCATGTAGGAGACCCAAAGGAGGCTTCTGGCTCCTGGCTTCAGATCATCTCAGTTCTGGCCATTTCGGCCATTTGGGGAGTGAACCAGCAGATAGAAGATCCTCTCTCTCTCTCACTCTCTCTCTCTCTCTGTCTCTGTCTCTCTATCTCTCCCTCACTCTCTGTAACTCTGCCTTTCAAATAAATAAATCTTCAAAAAGAAAAAAACTGGGGGCAGTGGTTAGCTGTAATGAGTAAGTGGGTTCTGGAACTTGACCCTTATAAAGCCACATAACCTTAGGCAAATCACCCAACTTCTCTGAATTCCGGAAGAATTAAATCATTTACTAGTTTTAAAGTGCTTGGCCCAGTGCCTGGTACATAGTAAGCACAGAATAAATATTCACTATTTTTAATATAATTTTAATGCATAGTAAAAAAGTCAGCTATCTCAAATACACCAAGTGTGAAACACTGTGGATTTCGAAAATCATCAGGCCTCGGTTCATCTCCAGGCCAATTTCTGAGAACAGTTTGTTGAACAAACAGTTCACTGAAGTATTAAGTATTTTTTAAATTATTGAGTTTTTTTTTTAAGTTTTGGAAAGTGGTTCCTGCTCTGGCCCCTGCCTCACCCTCGCCGTGACCCTACCTGACAGTGAAATAGCTGTGGGTTTTCATGAGTTGATTTCCAAGGATTTGAATTTCAGCTAATTGAGTTTGCTTCTAATTAATGCGATTGCAAATTGGCCTGCTGGCCCTGCTTTGAATCCTGGCTCTGACACTCGCTAATTGTGAATGACTTGGGGAAGCCACTTAACCTCTCTGAGCCTTATGGGAATACCATTAGTTAGCTGAGTGCGTTTGTACCTGGAAAGCATTTAGAGGGGAGCCTGGCGAGTGGCCTCGGTCTAGCACAGGGTCCCAGCCCTTAACCACCGTGCCATGCTCCCTCCTAATAAATGTATGTGAGAGGTTGGGAGGCTGTCAGAGACACAGGGATTCCTTCCAAAATTTACATATATTAATTCGTGCCATCTGCTGTAATTAGAAGGAACATTGTTACTTAGAATTCTCAGATGCAGTTTTTCCTTTTTCAGATCCAAGACACAGAAGGTGACTATGGGTAATTAATAAGAAACTTAATACAAAACTTCAGGGCAGATTTAGATTTCTCAAGCTTTCCGTTCAACTCGATAGTGGGCAAGGTGATGAAGAATTCCAGCTCTGCATGCCCTGCTTGGAGTACCAGCCCCCAGGGGTCTAAGTTCTGCAGGACCAGACACAAAGGGTGTTTGGAGTATGAGTCTGGTGGGCCCAGGCCCTGACAAGCTGGGCCGGTGGGGCTGGGGCACCTGGAGACCAGGGAGCCCTGGAGATGGCCTGCCCTCTCCTGGGTGGTGTTTGTCACAGCCTCACGCCTCTGCCTCCTCCTGACAGTGGAGAAGATGCTGGCAGGCTGCTTGCTGCTGATCCTGGGACAGATCCTCCTCCTCCCTGCTGAGGCCAGAGAGCGGCCGCACGCCAGGCCCTTCTCCAGGGGCAGAACCGCTCGGACCCACCCCCAGACGGCCCTCCTCGGTGAGTGACGGGGACCTGCTCACTTCTGCAGGGCCGTGGGTGAGGGAGGTCTGCCTGGTCCCTGAGTGCTCTGCCTGGGCTTCTTCTCATGGGTCGTCAGTGCATCCGCAGCCGAGGATACGGTTGCACGTGTGTGTCCTGAAGAAAACTGAACCTCTTCCATCCTGAAGCCTTCAGCCGAATCTCAGGCTCATGACTTTTCTCCAACGAGCAGGGCAAGAGTTTTCATCTGGAAAGGGCCTTGCTGGCTAATCCGGGCAAGGGTGTTCTGAGGATTTTTTTTTATTGGATTTGTCCAGCTGAATTTGCTAATAGTGCTTCTTGCATGGCTGTGTGGGAGGAAGAGCAGGCACTGACGAGGGGTGGGAACTTCACGATCAAGGTGTTAGGATTGGAAAATGCCAGGGGACCATGATTCTGATCAAGCGAACATGTTTTCTCTTGGTGAATTTTTTGTTTTGAGAAAAAGTTCTTTTCAAGAGAAGGAAATGTCATGCAAATGCACAGAGAATAGGCGCATTGGCTGGTTCTCGACCTGGGCAGTGGTGTGCACTGAATGTGAGGGAATAGGAAGGTGGCCCGATGGAAAGAGAATGAGTTTTGGTGTACACTTGGGTTCAAGTCATTTTTTAAAATATTTTATTATTTGAAAGAGTTAAAGAGAGAGGTAGAGATGGGAGAGAGAGCGAGAGAGATCTGCTGGTTTACTCCCCAAATGGCTGCAATGGCTGGGGATGGGCCAATCTGAAGCCAGGAGCCAGGAGCTTCCAGTCTCCCATGTGAGTACAGGGGCCCAAGTAGTTGGACCACCTTCCACTGCTTTCCCAGGTGCGTTAGAGGGGAGCTGTATCGGAAGTGGAGCAGGCGGGACTCAAATCTGCGCCCATATGGGATGCCGGCATTACAGGCCAGGGCTTTAACCTGCTGCGCCACAGCACGGCCCCTCAAGTCCTTCTTCTGTTACTTACCAGATGCCTATACTTAGGCAACTCAAGCTGTCTGAGATTCAGTCTTCTCATCTACAAAATGGGAGTATTAATGCTGACCTTGGAACGTTGCTGGAAGGGGTACATGAGGCAACACACATAAATTGTAGGCATGCAATGAATGGTCACTGCAGCACAACTGTTGTTCCATGAAGTTCTCTGAAGCTATATCTCGTATTTATACCTTCTTGGCCAGCGTTACACTCTGACTTCCTAGGAATTCAGGCTACTGCTCTATGACCTGGTGATCTTGGCATTCAAAAGTATAATCAAGGACCAAAGGGGCCTTCTTAGTCCATTGTGTGTGGCTGTTACAGAGTGCCACAGACTGAGTCATTTATAAAGAGTAGAAATGTGGCCGGCTCCGCGGCTCACTAGGCTAATCCTCCGCCTAGCGGCGCCAGCACACCGGGTTCTAGTCCCGGTCGGGGCGCCGGATTCTGTCCCGGTTGCCCCTTTTCCAGGCCAGCTCTCTGCTGTGGCCAGGGAGTGCAGTGGAGGATGGCCCAGGTGCTTGGGCCCTGCACCCCATGGGAGACCAGGAAAAGCACCTGGCTCCTGGCTCCTGCCATCGGATCAGCGCGGTGCGCCGGCCGCAGCGGCCATTGGAGGGTGAACCAACAGCAAAAGGAAGACCTTTCTCTTTGTCTCTCTCTCTCACTGTCCACTCTGCCTGTCAAAAAATCTACACAAGAAAATGAAAAAAAACGTCCACGAGTAGAAATGTGCTTGGCTCCGGATTCTGGAGGCTGAGAGGTCCCAGATCGAGGGGCTGCGTCTAGTGGGGCTTTCTTGCTGTGCCCTCTCAAAGTGGAAGGGCAAAGACCGGGTGAGAGCGAGAGGTGGAAGTGGCTGCCCAGTGTCCTTTCATTTATCTCTTCATGGGGGTGGAGCCCTCATGACCCAAACACCTCCCATTCAGCCCTGCCTCCCATGGCCCTTCATTGCCTGGGAATGAACTTTCCAGAGCGCACTGTCAGGAGGAGGTATTTAAACCATGCTGGGGACCAAAGAGTCCCATTTGGAGAGGTCAGAATCTTCACTGGTGTGGACTGAATGATGGCCCCAGTGCTGCTGGGTCTTCCTTATCTTCACTCTCCCGAGAGTCTCAGTTTCCGTAGTGATGCAGACATGAAACTTCTGCAGATGTGAAGAGGGAAATGTTTAGCATGTTGAATACAGGATTTTTTAAAAAATCAAATTTCTGAGTAACAAATGTTATCATCAACTTGTGCCATCTGTCCACTTGCGCTTACCTCATTCATTCGCCTGGATTTTCTACTTTGTGCACAATGGCCGCCTTCAGGAAGTACGTGCTGTAGTGGGGGAGACAGGGGCTAAGAAGATTGTTAATTTGGTAGAATGGTGTCCACCAGCAGAGGCACGTCCAAGCCGCAGCTCGCCGTGCCTCCAGCAGGCTCAGTACAAGATTCTCAAGCTTTTGGTCTCAGGACGCCTTCTTTTGACACTCAAAAAAATTATAGCAGATCCAAAGAGCTTTTGGTCGCCTAGTTTAGATTTTTTTTTTAAAGATTTATTTGTTTATTTGAAAGGCAGTTATGGAGAGAGAGGGAAAAAGAGAAAGAGATCAATCTTCCAACCACTGGTTCATTCCCTAAATGGCTAAAACTGCTGGGGCTTGGCCAGGCTGAAGCCTAGAGCCTGGAGCTCCATCCAGGCTTACATGTGGGTGGCATGGGCCCATAGACTTGGACCATTTTGGGTGTTTTTCCCAGGCATATTAGCAGGGAGCTGGATATGGGTTGCTGGTGCTGGCTTAACCTGCTGTGCCACAAGGATCGAACTAAGCCATCCAACTAGGAGGCAGCCAGGCCACCAGGAGAAGGAACAAGCATGTTCTGCAGCCCACAGTCCCTTCTGGGCAGCAAGGCTGGCAGGAGAGTGGGAGCCGAAGGCCCCGCTGTGCCCAGCGTCCCTCCTAACCCCTTCCTGTTCCCCCCTCAAGGTGATGCTAACTGGAAGGCACGTTTCCCCACCCCTCGTTACTGCCAGTTTTATTTGTGCCCATTTTCCCTTTGTTGTTACATCATTGTCCTATGGTGGTGGTGGTGGTGGTGGTGGGCAGGTGTTTTTGCACCTGTTGCCAGGGCAATCAGAGCAGCTTATTAGTCTTTTTGGAAACCTCTGCCCTCTTTGCCCAAATTCCCACTGCATTCTTGACTCCCTTGTTTCTGACACGAGCGTACACAGCCATCCTACGTGTCTGCCAACCTGATCTCAAAGTGTGTCTTTCTTTCTTACAAGGTCTGGTTGATATGTGTGCATTCTTTTCTTGATTTCCCACCCAACTCATTTTATTTCTGCTAAGTAACCCTGGGACTTTTTCCTTTCTCCATAATAGGTTCTTGTCTGGATCAATACCACCCACTCGGAATCCGTGTGTTGTGTTTTAAGAGAGTGCTTTGTTGCAGTGTCGGAAGCAGATGGAAGAAGTGGGAGGCAAAGACTTAAGAGGAGGCTGGAAGGAGCTGAACTTCTCACTCCTCTGCCCCCACACTCTCATCGCTAGGGACAATTTCAGAGGTGGTTGGGGGTAGAGGCCACAGAATTTAATGAAATTTCCTGATAACCGTTAACTTACACCTAGAAAAAAGCTAAAGAGAAAAATGGAAGAATTCACTATATACAGCACCCAGTTCTGCTGGTTTTTTTTTTTTTTTAAAGATTTATTTTGTTTATTTTAAAGGCAGAGTTACAGAGTCGGGGGGGCGGAGAGAGACAAAGAGAATCTCCCATCTTCTAGTTCACTTCTCAAATGACAACAATTGCCAGGGCTGGGCCAGGCTGAAGCCAGGAGCCAGAAACTTCATCTGGGTCTCTCATGTGGGTGCAGGAGCCCAAGCACTTGCCGCTGCTTTTCCTGGGTGCATCAGCAGGCAAGGAGCTGGATTGGAAGTGGAGCAGCCAGGACATGAACCAGCGCCCTACTTCTGCTTTCTGGAAGTCTAGTCCATTATGAGGCGCATAGCTCCATTTCGGCATTCATTTCATGAAACCTGACGTCAAAATCGTAGTAAAGGGGCCGGTGCTGTGGTGTAGTGGGTAAGGCCACCATCTGCAGTGCCAGTGGCTGAAGTCCTGGCTGCCCCACTTCTGATCCAGCTCTCTGCCATGGCCTGGGAAAGCAGCAGATGGCCCAAGTCCTTGGGTTCCTGTACCCGCGTGGGAGACCTGGAAGAAGCTCCTGGCTCTTGGCTTCAGATCGGCTCAGCTCTGGCCATTGCAGTCATGGGTGAGGGAGCCAGTGGATGGAAGACCTCTCATTCTCTCTCTGCCTCTGCTTCTCTGTAACTCTGCCTTTCAAATAAATAAATCTTTAAAAAAAAAAAAACCGTAGTAAAATCGCAATGCATGTCATTTGAGGAGCTGGGACCTCCTAAATGTGCAACATACTGGGGGGGAGTTGACCTGCTTTGAGAATTGAAAGTGAGATCGCCTCATCTGTTGTCAATGGAGGTTTCCCCCTGGGTCAGTAATTATGAACATTTTCAAGCGTCACTGCCAGTTTATGAGTTTCAGCAACCTAAAACAAAACTGCTGCTTGATATTTGTTGGACCCCTTCTGTGAGGGAGGAATGGCAGATGCCTGAAGCCGTCAGAGTGTGGCCCATTGAAACCACTGAGCAATCGAGCAATCGATCGATGTAAGAAGTCCTCTGATGCCTCTTTGTCGTGTGAGAACTTTTGTCTCCTTGCTTGAGATTTCCTGGGTGGTGTTCCTCGTCTTCCTTCCACCTGCAGTATCTTTCCCTGGCCAAGAGGCGTTATCAGCCCGGGCTGAGTCAAATGCCACCACCTCCATCTCCCTAATGAGCCACACACTGCAGGTTCCCTGCCAAGCTCTGTGTTACATGCCAGTGGCAGCTGCCTCAGAGGGATTCAGGCTCTTGGTATTTGTGTGCTTGCCTTACTTTTATCACTACTGTAAATCCCTTTGAAGACAGAGACTGAATATTTTTCATTTCTCCTAACCTTATGGAGGGCAGCTGTCAT